CTATGGAATCTATCTGTCTCTGCCTCCCCAGAACTTGGAGTTATAGATGGGAGGTACTGCAACATGGCTCATACATGGATATTGGGGATCTGAACTCAGATCCTTGCATTTGCTCAGCAAGCATTTTACTGAGACATCTCCCTAGTTCAAGGTTGTTTTTAAATAACAGAAGAGGAAGAAGACAGTCAATGCTCATTTCTAGATTTCATACATGTCTTATATCAGTGTGTCCCCCAAATATATAGGTATTTATAGGAAGCATCCTCACCTGGGGGTATAAGCAAGGCAGCCCAACTGTATAGAGCATAGAACTGGATGACTTCCTCTTCAGAAAAGCACTGCACAGAAAGCTTTGGCCCCAGGAAACCCCTTGACCCACACACAGGCCCATCAATCACCAGCTGCTCCAAGGGTGGGCACAGTGGGGAACAAGGTGGACAAGACCATTCCCATTGTGGGTAAAGCCCAAAGAGAAACTCAGCTGAGAGCCAGCAGTGGGCAACTCAGACTGTCTGGAGAAGTGAGTGCTTCAGATTAATGGGAGCAGATGAGCCTCCACAGAGTGTCCACCACACATAGCCACTCTAGAAGATAGGCAGTCCAAAGGAACTGGCCAAGTCAGCTAAAAGGACATAGCCAAAGGACAGTGATGTCCATTAGGCTTCTGGAAATTGAACCTTGACTCCTTTATACTCTGTAACAACTTCTGCAAATGTTTTTAATCTTCACATTCAAATTAATACAGTTTTGGCTGCCTGGTATGGATCAATAGTGTACTAAATATGGATTTACACACAAATAGCTCTACAAGCCTATGTGGTCAATAATATATGTTATTAAAGCTCCCTAAATACATATATACAAAACTAAACCAAGGAGTCAGCCTTTTAAGGGTCCACTCATATCTCTTGTAGCAGTAATCCACAGGGCAAGTGAAAAACTGGGGCTTGCAATGACCAGGTGATCAGTTTTGTTTTGTTTGGGTTTGTTTTGGTTTGGGTTTTTTTCTTTGTTTTGTTTCTGTTTTGCAGATCAAGACAATTGCAAAAAGAAGAGCATCAAATCATAGTTTGTACCTTAAATATTAATAAAACTGGCCCACTTGACCCTATAGTTATACCATTGACTAACCTAAGGAAAAATGGGCCTCCCCATTGATGCAATAAAACATCATGGCCAAGGAAACTTACTAAAGGAATTATTTGGGCTTACAGTTGCAGACAGTTAGAGTCTCTGATGATGGAGCAAAGGCATGGCTGCAGAAGCAGGAAGCTGAGAGCTCACATCTTGAACTGCAAGGCAAAGAGGAGAAAACAAACTTGAAGTGCCATGAGTCTTTAAATTCTTAAAGCTTGCCTCCAGTAACATTGAGGACACTGGATGGTGATCATGAGATGAACAAGGGAACAGCATAAGAGCGTTGGATGGTGATCATGAGATCGGGTCTAAATTTAAGGTAAAAGGCACTGTGTGTTGGCAGAATCTTCATCTATTTATCAACAGTTTCCTGGATGACCCAATCTCTTGAAGTGGTGCAGCCCTCTTACGAATATGGGGACAAGTACCAAATGCTTAAGGATAACAGTAAGAGGAAACAATGCTTACTGGTGAATTATACAAAGGGTTACTTTATTTCTGAACAGTAGGTTACTGGCTCTATTTTTTTATGGGAGAAAACAAAAGTTCCTAATTGTTTAAGACACTAGGATCAGGTTCTGTCATAGAGAGCCAAATGGAATCCTGACTCAGCAGTAACCAGAAATGAACTGTGTGCTGTTCATGTGACTGTGGCATTGAGCACCTGCTATGTGTCAGGTAATGATACCATTACTAAATTTTAGGACAAATCTGAACGCAGCTCTGCCATTGCCCTCTGGAGAACTAAGTGATAAATGCCTTGACCATTCTTTCAGATTCTTCTTTAGCTATTTTTGTTACTTCTTTTCTGTGAGACCCCTTCAGATATCTGGCCTCTCTAGCTAGCAGATTAAATGGTATGAAGTAACCCCTGGTATAAGTCACAGGTACTTGTTCACTTGCCTCATTTAACTTCAATGACACACTTTACCCTTCAAGGGAATCTTGGACTTTTCTCTGTGCTCTTGAATTGACCTTTGTCATATCTGCCACCCACAGGAGAAGAAGGAAGCATGGCTCTTTCCCATCTTGCAAGATGGCAGGTGAAAAGCCGAGAAGCCTGACACAACAGAGAAGAAACCTGAAGCCAAGAGGGCTGGTTGTGATGCCCTTGCTGCTGGTGCCCCTACCACTGGTGCAGCCAAAAAGAGTGGCCCTAAGGTTAAAAAGCCCAAGAAGAGGGAACCCCATTGCAGCCGGAACCTTGTCCCGGTTAGAGGAATTGGAGAGTACTCTGATCTGCTATGGATTCCAGAAAGGCCCTGTACAAAAGAAAACACTCAGCTGCAAAAACCAAGGTTGAAAAGAAGAAGAAAAAGGAGAAGGCCCTTGCTACTGTCACTAAACCAGTTGGTGGTTACAAGAATAATGGTATCCGGGTGGTTATGATTCGAAAAATGCCCAGGTATACTGAAGATGTGCCTCAGAAGCTGCTGAGCCATGGCACAAAGCCCTTCAGTCAGCATGTGAGGAAGCAGTGTACCAGCATCACTCCAGGGACTGTCCTGATCATCCTCACTGGACGCCACAGGGGCAAGAGGGTGGTTTTCCTGAAGCAGCTGGGCAGCGGCTTGCTACTTGTGACAGGACCTCTTGCCCTCAACAGAGTTCCTCTGCGAAGAACACACCAGAAATTTGCCATAGCCACCTCTACAAAAGTTGATATCAGCAAGGTTAAAATGCCCAAACGCCTGACTGATGCTTACTTCAAGCAGCAGCAGCTGAGCAAGCCCAGGCATCAGGAGGGCGAGATCTTCCACACAGAGGAGGAGAAATATGAGATTACAGAGCAGCACAAGGCCAATCAGAAAACGGTGGGCTGGTAGCTTTTACCAAAAATCAAAGCCATTCCTCAGCTCCAGGGCTACTTGTGATCTCAGTTCTCTCTGACAAATGGGATGTATCCTCACAAACTGGTTTTCTAAATTGCTATGAACCTAGTTAAACAGCTTCATATGTTAAAAAAAAAAAAAAGAAAGCATGGTTACTTCCTGTCCCCTGAGTCTGTTCCCTCACCTGTACAGTGTTAATGTTGGGCTACAGTCCCTCTAGAGATCCTACTTGACATCTACAGCCTATCAAGTGAAATGGTGGTTTATCACCCCACATACCCAAGCATTGGCTGTCCAAGACAGACACCAGCCAGGAGCTGACCACTGCTGCCATTCCTGATCCCATGTAAGCCATGGTGACCCAGACATCTCCTAAAGGCCTCCCTGGCGTGCCTCTGTGCCTAAACCCTCCAGAAAAAAAGCAGCAGCACAGGCCAGACCAGGAGGCATATTCCTGGACCATTCTATGCTGAGGGATGGCCAGCTCCAGAACCCGCACCCTGCTTCCCCACTTTTGAAAACCTGCAATGAAAGAGGGAGTACAAAATAACTCATGAGAATAACTTGCCTATCAACTGGGAAGCATGAAGCAAGTATGCACGGGGGCTCTGCTCTTGGCAGCATGCAAATACAATTTTTTGTATGTGATGGTGGCATCAAAATTGATTCATATTTTCATACCTGATTACAATATTTTTTTAGTAATAATCCAAAGGGTATTGGGAGGTAAAATGAGCTGAAGAGCATGGAAGGAAGACTTCAAGTTCCCAAAGACACACAGTACTACTTAAGTGCCAGTGGTGCCCATTTAGAGTGGGGGGTGTCTGTATAAAGACCAAGCCATTTCTCAGCATCTCACTCCCATCCTCAGAAACAGCTGCTCCCTCCCCAGACTGTCAACCACCCTCCTGTGATTAATCCATCCTCCCAGGCAAGGGTGGCCAGGCCAATGGTGCCCCACCCCCTGCCATGGGGGCCATCTTGAAGCCAAGTTTCTCTGGGCGAACTCCAGAGTGGGGGTGCATTGAGGGGGTTAATTACACCAGCTCTGGTGCTATCTCCAACCCAGCACAATGACAATTTGGCAATTGCATTACTGGTACAAAAACAATATGCCAAGCAGCTGGTGGCAGAGAAGTCTGATTTATTAACAGAAATCCTGGGATGGCAGCCAATGTGCCCCTCTTTCCAGAGGAGCAGCAGGACCCAGCAGTCAGTTGATGTGTGCCCTCAATCAGGGCCCAGCTCCCATGCAGGCAACTGAAATTCCACAGTTAGAACTCCATAGCCTCCTCATTCTTTGTGTGGTTAAGTTGTGTCTGGAAGACATGCAGATCTTCTCCTGCTAGAAGGATAACAGGTTAATACCAGGCAAGGCAAGTTGTGGTGTTTACCCCTGGGTGGAGGCTTTTCTGTACTCAGCAGGCTGAGGCAGGTGTGTGGATGGAGCCCAGTGCCAGGATGTTTGAGAGGCATTTCAAAGCCTTGGGATGGCAGAGTAGGAGTATGCGAGAGTAACCAGAAAGCCCATTGGAATGGGAGGAGGGGCCCTGAGAAGTGAGGGCAGCAGTGTGCTGACAAAAATAATACTAGTATTGTGGTTTTAGTCATGCCACTGTCCTTTCCACCTCCTCCACATATTCAGTGGCATCTCTCATGTACCAGTTAGCCAAAGCCCTGGGACCTCCAGTTGATAACTCTCGTGGTGGGCAACCAGTGGATGAGAGGCCAGATTGAGGAAGCCACCATCCATCATGCACCCTTCTGTGTAGACTTCATCACTGGCAAGAAGAGTAGGAGCTAACCCTCCACCACTATGAGATGAGCACTGAGATCCATTGAGGGTGAGCTATCCATGGGGGAATTGTGGACCCAGATTAACTCTGCTCAGTTCCTCTCTCCGGGAAGACAGCACTGGGTAATAAGAGGTGGGGACAGATTTTTCAATTAACCTCTCTACTAGCAATCCACTTACTTCTGTAAACTTCTGTAGCCTATGGATGAGCGTTAGCCTCTCTCACAGGGATGTTGTATTGCGTAAGATGGTTCAGGGGAGGCCTTTACGGACTCTAAGGTTCAGTGTATATGGAAGGAATCACTGTTGTTATTGTGACTCTGGAGATAGGGAAGGAAGCAATGCCACCCTGATGGGCAGAATAAACACCTTTGCATTGAGCTTCAAGCCCTGGCAGTGAAACTTCAAACAGAGTAACCTGAGTCTGTGTGGCCAATAAGGGAGGGACAAATGGCTATGTTTGCCTACGAGGTCACCATGAATGTCTAAAGTGTATGGTCTTCGGCAGTGGTGTATCTGTAAGTGACAGCTACACCACCCAGAGTGTGTTTCCACAAGGAGCCTACGCTCACCCTTGGCCCCAGACACTTGTATCGAATTGAGTCATTCCATGTCATCCCCAGGTGACTGTTTCATTTATTAAAGAGACTATACCCCCTCAGCCTTCTCTTGAGTTATTATAAGGTATTAAATCTGTTCAAGTATTTAATCCACTGTGACATAAGAAATATATAGTCTCTGTCCCCAGTTTTTGACACAGATTCCCAAAAACCATTCAATTTTCTTAGTGGTTGTGGTGAGAGACACATTACACAAAGAGCCCTTTTTTATTCTACTGAAGCAGCTTTGGGCAGGCTACCAGAGAACCTCAGAACAGAGGCTACACACACACACACACACACACACACACACACACACACACAAAAATTAGAAGCTTGAAGTTTTCAGCTCAGCTCCATTCTCGAGAAGAGGACAGGGGAAGCAGAGACCAGAGACTGAATTGCTAATTCACGATGCCTGTTAAAGCTTGCATCAGAACCCCTGAACTTACAAGGTTCTGAGCTTCCAAAGTAGCAAATGCATCCCTGTACTGGTGGCACAGCCTGACTCTGTGGGGACAGAAGCTCCTATGCATGAGACCCTTGTAGACTTCACCCTATGTGGCCTCCATCTGGCTGCTCATTTGCGTCTTTTATCACATACTTTCTAATTAGCAGAGGTATTTAAATAAAACCCCCTGGTTCTGCCATTGTAGCAGATAAACCTAAGGGATCCCTGACTCCCCAATAGTACACTGAGCAACTGGTCTCTTATGCTACTGATACCTTAGCCTATGGGGGTTTGCCCAAACTCCCAGCAATTAGTGTCAGAACTGAATTAAAGTGTTGAGTCAGAGTAGTACTAGACAGATTCCTGGTAAGGAGACCCTAAACAGTTGGTATCTGAAGTGTTGTGTGTAGAAAAACAATTTATTCTTTTATCCATTGTCTTTGTTGCCCAAACACACACTGGCTGTTAATAGCTGAGTGCTACAAACCGTGTTCTGCTCAGAAGTCAGCACAAAGGCCAACCAGCACACTGTGAAATTCCAGACGGCAGCATCAAAACTGTAAAGCAGAGGTAATACTTTCAAGGTCAGAGTTTTCCTCACTCCCCTCCATTTCTCCCTGGGCTGCTCAGATGTGCACTCCCATTCAGCTCTGTACCATAAAACCCAGTTTGTGGAGATCCTACCCAAGCAAGAACCAGAGCAAGTGCTCCTTTAAAGGCAAGTACAATAAACTTTCAGCCCAGAGCATTTGTTCATTTTTAATGCAGGTGATTAAATAAGTGATTTTTTTAAAAGAACTCCAATGCCTTTGGTTAAACACATTAATATAAATGATTTAAGAAAGCTGATTTCCTAATGAGTTGAGAATTTTATATTGATTCAGTAATTACAAAGCATATTGCAAAATCAATGGAATACTCCTGAAATTCACATTGATTGGCTAGCTTCAAAAACATTATATTGAAAGAGACGATGTATTTACCAGTGTGAATGGGTGCTCATGTTAACACACTCAGTGACAAATGGAGGTACTCAGGTGGACCTCGGGCCACTTGGAAGGGACTTGCTCTGTGCCCTTGTTTCTGCTCTTTTTTCTCACTTGGTTCTGGCTTTCAAAGCTGCTGGTTAATGAAACATTAGATTATTACTCCCTTGTGCATTCAAGTTTTCAGGTCTTTATACAATAATTAATTAGGATTATGTGACAAGGAGAGAATTTCCACCAGGAAAAGAAAAACTAATGGTACTGCTTTAACAAATGATGCTTAAACTCCTATTGACTCAACTTAATTTATTTAATCTTTCTACCTAGACCACCCTGAAGGTAATTATTCACATTAAATACTTTTAAACTAGTATCTTTTAAGTCTGGGATTTCTCACGTAGCCACTTAGTGTCTAATAAAGTTGGCTTCTTGGGAATGAGTGTTTCAAATTATATTAGAAATGGATAGGCCCTCAGAACACATACCTCGGTGCTTTTTCAAAGTGTGATGGACGGATCACCAAGCTCAGCATCACCTGGGAGCTCATTAGAAATCCAGATTCTCAGGGACTAAATCAGACCTGACCCTGAGCCGGGACTGGGGATTCTGCTACCAC